TGGGAAGAAGGAGCCCTGTGAGTTTTTGCACCTCTCATCAGCCAACTGGCACGATGAAGTCCCGGCTGCTTTCCAGCCTTCCTGGCTTCCCTGGAGCAGGGCTTGATGCTTAATCCTGACGTACCAGCAGACACTTGTTTCCCTTCCTAAAAGCAGGTCCCAGAGGCAGACCCCAGGTTGGCCTCAGCACACCTGTCCTACCCTCTCTTTCCATTTTCCCTGGGTTTTTCCCCTCTTCTGCATCCTCTGGGATCCCTCCACTCAGAAAACATGGAGATCACAAGCAGAGAGGCAGCACTGGGCTGTTCTGGGATGTCTGGTTTAGCCCCACAGCAGGGCTGGGGATGCTCAGGGAGGGGAAGGACAAGGACCATCACAGAGGGACCCCAACTTGCTCCCTCTGGAGCAGGGGGAGCTCCCGGCTGTGTGCTGGGGGAGGGAGGGTTTCAAAGGAGCTCATCCCAAGGCCACATCTGCTGCATGTGTTTAAAACAACTCATTAAAGTTCCTGAAAGGCCTAAAAAATGAGTAATTCTCTAAATGAGGGAGGCTATAATAGCCTTCTAACAAGCTGTAATAGGATGCTGGTGAGCGCCTCCGGAGCTTGTGGCCCCCCCATCCCAAAAAACACGGGGATGGAACACGGGGACCACGTGGGGGGACACGGGCACAGGCAGGATGGATGCCCAGCTGGAAAACATGGGGAGAGGGGAAATGAACAGCCAGAAATAAACAGATTTCAAGGCTCTGGAAGTAGCAAAGCCTCCAGGAGATTTATGGGGGAACTGGTCTCCAGTTGTAGGGGGGGAGGCAATACCACCCCCAAGGGAGGAGTTTGTCCTGCTGTTTAGGGCAGGAGGGGACCTTCTCCTTCCCTTCCATCAGTGCACACCAAGGCACAGGAGCCCAGCAGGGAGGAGGAGGTAACATACCCCAGGGAAAGTCTGGGGAGCTCTCTGCTCTCTGCACACTCCCCACGCCTCCCGGGGAGTCGGGATGGTGGGAGCTCCTCATCCCTGCCGCCTCTCTGCAGAGGGATCCCACAGCCAGGATGGAGGCCAGGGAAGGGGGGCACTCCTCCATGGGGTGTTGCAGTTGTCTTCCAGCTGGATCTGGTGCTTTGGAAATTGTTGGGATTGCTTTTCCTTCTCCACCGAGCCAACACGTCAGCACACGCCGCCCCTTCCCCGCACACCTCCCGCTGCCGCCGCGTCCTCCCGGCACCGGCCGTGGGATGGATCCACCAGCTGGCACAGGGCTGGGCTCGCTTCCCATCGCCACTGCCAGTGAGCAGATGACATTTCACTGGGCTTCCAAAGGACTGGAGTGCATTGGAAATTCAGGATTCAAGATGTTCTGCTCTTGTGAACAGCCCACGTTGCTATATCGGGGAGATGATGCACCAGCCTCCTGGCACATCTCTGGGCTGTGATATCATGGGGGGACATAACTCATGGAGCTGTGCCTCAACCTGAGCCACACGTCCCACCCTCTCCTCTGGGACTGCTTCGTCCTTGGGGTGAGGATATTTCCCAGGATGAAGGGGATTTGGGATGGGAATTGGGGGTTTAGAGCAGCCTCTGCTTGCCCAGAGCTGATGTGCCACCTCATGAGCGGTATGTGGGATGTGCAGAAGGAGACTCAGGGACAGTCAGGACTGTGTTCACGTCATGTCTGGGGATACTTCACAGGTTCTTCTTTGTTTTTTAGGGCTCCAAGTCCTGACAAAGCAAGGTTGAAATGAAGATTTTGTTTAAAAACATCCTTGTGGAAAGAAAACTTGAGAAACGGGAGCAAGGTTCCCCCAGGCAGGAGGAGAACCCCATCAGCCTTGCTCCATCTCCTGAGTTACACATTAAGATTTCTCTCAAACTGTTTTTGGGTTGGCCTTGACTTCCAATCTCTCAGGTTTTCATTTGGGTGTTATTAAATAAACTCATTTAACCTGACCTGGGGCCTCCCGGCTCCCTCGGGAGCCCCTCCCTTGTTGCAGCTGGGCCACCTCTGGATTTCCTCTGCCTGAGATCACCTGTGCTGGAAATATGACCCACAAGGGATCAGATGTGTCTCAGCAAATCTCAGGGCTGCTAAGGCTGTGGGCTCCTCCATTACTGATCCTGCAGGGCTCTCCTCTCTCTCCACAGCAGGCACAGCATTGAGATGCAGTCCTTGGAACCCGGCACTCCGGAGGCACGGCTGTGGGATGGGCTGATGTCACTGCTGCTGTCTGGGCAGGAGTTTATTTATTCAATTGTCATCATTAAATTCCAGTCAGTCATCCAGGTGTCCTGTGCAAGAGGAAGGTCAGGGAGAGGAAAGGAAGTGGGAGAGAAACAAGAGAGGCTGTGAGATCTGCAGATGCCTCCTTTGCCATGCCCAGGGATGGGAGAAATTCTCCCAGATACCCTCAGGCTTAGGGAGAGAGATCTGTGTGTGTGTGAACATGTGTGTGTGAGAGAGAACATGTGTGTGTGAGAATGTGTGTGTGTCACAGGAAGGAAGGTCTGGATTTCTTTACCCTTCCTTGCCCTTCCATGGGACAGGTGCTGCACCAGGAGGTGGGAATGGGGCTGGGGATATAAAGAGAAGGTGATGCCCTGGGTCACCCATCTGGGGACACCCCGGAGGGCTCACAGGGATGGGCACAGCCTATCCATGATATCATGATCTCGATATTCCCAACCGTTTGGGCTCTCATGCTGAGTGGAGCCTTGGACCACCTCTTCTCTACCCAGAGGCAAGTTTCTCTGGAAACCAAGGAATGGGAAAATCCTCCCACTTCCCAGCTGCCCGCATGGCTCATGGCTACAGAGCTGCCTTCCTCCCCCTCTCACACCTCCCTCCATTTCTGCAAAGCCCTGGGAGATGTTAGATCATTTTTCCAGCTCCTCCAGGTGTCCATAAAACTAGCTGCAGATTCCTCCTTGGAAAGGGGAGCAGCAGTGAGGGGGAAACCCATATCCACAGCAGTGCCCCCTTCCCATGGTTTTCCTGGGGAACGGGAGCAGCTCAGTGGAATGCAGGGACATCCAGGGCTCTACCAGGGGCTCTCTCCGGAGGGAGACCCTCCAGATGGACAACAGGCTCCCACCTTCACCCCATGAAAACCCAGGGGATTTGCCACTGTGGAGTCTTATGCAGTGTCCCCCGGTTTGGCTCTTGCTCCCATTTCACTGGAGCCACCATCATCTGGGGAGGGTGGGGAGAAGTGAGGATGGGGAAACCTTCAGCCTGGGGTAGAAGGGGCAGTGCTGGCCCAGACCACTGGAGCTGGCAGAGCCTCTGCCCTGCAGGACATCCCTCCAGGAAGGATTCCAGGCGACTGCACAACATGGAGCGTGAAGCTGTTGGGTCTGGGGAGAGCAAACAGCTCCACTGGGCACAGGGTTTGAGGATGGTTTGGGGATGAGGTGGTGGCGAGCAACAGGTCTGCCCTGGATCTTCATCATGTCTGGAATGTCAAAAATCTGCTGGCTGGGGGAGAGGGACAGGGCTGGGGCAGGTGGAGGTGCTGGGGTGGGGTGGGAAGGGGGTGCAACAGCCAGAGCCAATTCCTTCTCTTCTTCTGTTTCCTTTTTGTGCAGGCAGGAATGATCTCATGTTTTGTCTAATCTAAATTCTGTCAAGCAAGCAGGGAGCAGAAAAAAAGAGACAGAAAGCAAGCAAGGGAAAGCTGCACAGTTAATAAAAATCTGCTAGACACATGTTCCCTGAGCCCAGGGAGGGAAAGGGGGAGCCGAGATCTACAGAGCCTTGGGAGACAACGAGAAGGAATGTTGGGGTCTGTGAACCCCCTGTCTTGAGATTCATCCTCTTCTCCACCTGATGGGGAGCAGTGCAGCCAGGGCACGACCATCCTGGGGCTGTGGAGCTCCCTATCACAGGGGGTCTGGGGTCACTGATGGCTGCCACCGGGTTGGCAGCCAGTCCAAGACCCCTGTGTCCCTTTACCTGTGTCTCTGATGCCTCCCACAGTCATTAGGAAGGAAGGAAGGAATGCCAAACACACCAACAGCTTTCCTTCCTTCAAGTGGCACATTTGCTCCTCGCCTTCTCACTCGCTAAATCATCCGGAGCAGGACAGATGCTCCCTCGGCCGTGCGTGCGGAGGGAGGCCGAGGGGAGGCTGAGAAAAGCTTTTCCTTTCCATTCTCATCCTCCAAAAAGGTTTTCTCACCTGATAGATTTCACTGGCTTTTGTTTTCCTTCCCGCAGCATCCGCACGTGGAGGAGCGTGGGGCTGTGGGAGGCACGGCCAGGAGGACCAGCCTCGCTCGGGGCATGTCTGCAGCCAGCTGACACCAGCCAGAGGGGTGGCTCTGCTTGGAAACGGGGCTTTTTCCAGCCAGAGCTGTTCCTCACTTGGCTACAGAAACATTTGTGCCAGCAAAAAGCAGGAGGTGTTATGGGGGTAGGAAGGGAAGGCTGGAGGTGGGAGCAGCCCAGCTTGGCTCCACTGCTGGCTCACGGTGGCAAATACTTGTCACATGGGCCTTTGTCACATCCCTGCTCGGCTACCAGTGTGACAACTTCCCAGGGGAGAGGAGTCCCTGCCTGTGTCTCTGCGATGTCCCTTTTGGTGTCCCTGCCGGTGTCCCTGCCACGTCCTTGCCACATCCCTGCCACGTCCCTGCCACGTCCCTGCCACATCCCTGCCACATCCCTGCCACATCCCTGCCACGTCCCTGCCACATCCCTGCCACATCCCTGCCATGTCCCCGCCTGCACTGTGCAGGTTGGCTTTGGCTGGACAGGTCCAATGTGCCCCAAAGGCAGCAGGGTCACCAGCAGGGCCATCCAAAGGTGGCCTCTCCACTTGTGTCTCCGGAGGTCTCAGGATGGGAACTGCTTCCCAGTTTGCTGGTATCCAGCTGCTGCTCCCAACAGTGCCCTGATCCACAGGGGATTTTGAGAAATGAATCACTGTGGTGGGTGAGGTCACAGAGTCACAGAACCATTTAGGGTAGAAAAGCCCTCTGAGATCATCCAGTCCAACCATTCCCCAGCACTGCCGAGGCCACCACTGACCCATGTCCCCAGGTGCCACATCCACACACCTTTTCCAGCCCTCCAGGTGAGATGTGGGCGTGCACTGTGTTCCAGGGAAGCCTTTTCTCAGCTCACCAGAGCTGCTGTGGATGTGAGTGTCAGCCCAGCTCTGGTTGGCACCTCCTGCAGGTGCCCATCCCGGGCACACCCAGGGATGTTCCGTGTTCCTGGTGAGGTCCCTCCATCCTGCCCCGTGACACGGCCCCAGGAGGGGCTGTCAGGGGACACAGTGTGAGCTGGGCCCAGGAGAGTGGTTTGGTCACAGGCAGCACAGGGGCAGCAGCGATGGAGACCAAGGAGGGTGAGGGAAGAGCTCGATCAAGGTCTCTAAATGAGGATCCTGAAATACATTCCCAGGCCACAGAAACCACACTGGAAAATTGACTTTGCCTTCCGTGCTGTCAGGGACGGAGAAGGGGCTCAGCAGAGCCCAGATGGGGCCTCTTGGTGTCGATTAACAAAACAAACAAACAGCGTTGCCCTAATGAGCTCCGGCTTGAGGGGAGGAGGCACTTTGGAACAGGCTGCCACCAATGCCATGTGCTCTGGGCTTTGGGGCAAGGGCCCTGTCCCTGCAATCTGGCAGTGCCCATGGCCCCTTCCCAGACTGAGATTCCCCTGAGCCCCGCAGAGCGGTCCATGGGCACTGGGGGATACACCAGCATCTTCCTGTGTGTCTCCAGATGGGTTGGCCTCTCACATTCCCATTGTTTTACCACAGGACACAGTGTTCAAATCCAGTCTGTGTCCATCTGGGATGGATCTTTCACAACACATTTCTAAAAGGGCCAAAGATTTTCTCCCGTGTCAGTGGTGGGGCCGTGGGTGGCTCTGCCCGGGCTGGCTCTGCCCCAGGGATGCTTTTGGTGCCTCCCCAGGTTCTGAGGGCAGCCCAGCTCCCAACCCTGCCCTTCCACCATGGAGCAAGGCAGAAATCACACCATTACTCAACTGCTTGTAATAAAATCCCACTGCTTGTAAAACCTCTTTCAAGTGAGACCCCAGATGGCATTTTTTCCCTGCTCTGCCCGCCCGCAGCAGTGACGGAGCCAGACCTGCTGCAACTGAGCTGGGGCTCCACTCCAGGGGCTTTTCCCCACTCCCTCTTCACCTCCTTTCCCATCTCCAGGGTCCACTGAAGCTCCCCCTTAACTGCTGGTGTTGGGATAGCCCCCACCCCCCTGGCAGGGCCCCTCTACTCCTGTCTGCTGGAGAGCAGGGGGTGAGCACAAACCACCCCTTTTGCCTGGCCCTCAGCACCTCCTGAAGTCCTCAGCGATGTTAAAGGGCCCTTCCAACCCAAATCATTCTGTGATTCCCTGATTCCATGACTCTCATCTCCAACCAGGCTTTCATGTGATTCATGTGCACCCAAGACCTGAATATTTTAAACAAGAGGCCCAAAAGCACGGGACAGAGATGGATGCTGGTGCAAAGGTTCATCCGATTTCCCACACAGATTTATTTACAGCACCCCAGGCCCCTGGACCCCGCTCACGCTCTGAACATCCCAACTTCCCTGCCATTGTCCTGGAACACCAAGTGGTTTTGGGGGCCCGGTGTGCCGGGGCAGTAATGAAACCCGTCTGGGAGCCGATCGCTCCTTTATCTCCTCTGCTCTGTGTTCCTGAGGACCACGTTTTTTAATTTGTGTTGGATAAACAGTATGGGATTGTGTACGCAAAGAAGCTCTAATTATCCCCTCGGGTTGTGTTTCCTTAAAGGAAATGAACTGGGCACGGCGTTCCCGCTGCGGAGGCACACCGGCGCAATCGCTTCCAGATTGCTCCCAGTGCCACGGGAACCCGCAGCTCTGGCGGCCCCGGCACAGCACAGGGGTGTTGTGTGCTCTCCTGGGGACTGGCTGCAACCACGGGGGGACCTCCTGCAGGAATAAACACCCCCTGAAGCATGGGGGCCTCCAGTACAGTGGGGTCTGGGAAGGAGACCCGAGCCATCCTTGGACAAGCTGTCACTGCCCAGAATCACCTGGTTATTCACCCAAAGGGAGCTGCTGGAGAAATGCCACCTCGTGCCCCTGCAGGGGCTGGCAGAGCCCAGGTCCCTCGGCAGCTCCTGAAGTCACAGATGCTCCGAGATAACCCACAGGCTGGACCGTCTGCCCATGCAAGGGAGATGATCCATGAATCCCCGGCATTTATCCCGCTCCACGACACTCAGCAATCTTTATTTACACTGCTGACAACTGCTCTGGGCTATTTTTAGGCTTTATTGCTGATTGTATCGACAATGTTCTGGGCAGTTAACTTGGCAGAGGGGAGTTAATTGCAGGGGCTTCTCCCCTCTGGGGACCTGACACTCAGCCCTGCTTAGGGAGCGTGGAAACCATGTGGATCCTCCTCTTAGTCCACTGGCCTCCGTGGATCACCTCATAACTGCGCTGGGGCAGCCTGGGGATGGCACCCGTGCCCAGGGAGGGCCACTGAGGCCTTCTAAGCAGGACAGCTCCCCCAGGAGGGCTCTGAGATGGGTGGATGCTCCAGAAGGGGCAGCCCCTGAGCCTCCTGAGCCCCCGAGCCCACTGCCCCTTCCCAAGGATTTGCTTTTGTCATTCCTGCGCTGGGAGCGAGCCGCTCCATTGACACCAACACAGGCAGGCAGAGCAAGGGTCCAGTGGGTTGGGATTAACTGAAATGGGGGGGGGGACACACCCAGGGTTTTGGGTGGGGTCCCGGAATTTTAGGGGAGTCCCAGAGTTCTGGGGGTTTGTGCAGGAACTGGGCAGGATGGACTGACTGCCTGGCAGTGCTCTGGGGTTTCTCCAAAGTGAGGAAGGCGAATGGAGACACGCGGACAGTGGGGATGGGAAGGGGGGTGTTGGCCCCTCGCTGCCCCCCAGCTCCCCTGGCCCGGGGCAGCCCCTCAGCTCCTCCAAGCCCCACACCCTCGTTAGCAAACTGCAGTGAGGGGCCACACGGCCGTCCCGGTGTAACCCAAGCCCATTCCCGGTGCTCACTCGCCGGGAACCGGCTTTACCGAAGGATTTAAATTCAATTTGTTTTATTGAAGTTTCTTTTTTCCCCCCCGCCCAATGCATCAAACTATCACTTTACTGAGATCAGCTGCTCTTGGCCTCCTCTGACAGCCCCCTCTTTGCTCCCCCCTCCTTTGCCCCCCACATCCCACTGTCTGGATGAGCCCCTAATTCTTTCTCCTCTTTCAAGCCCACCAACGCTTCCTGCAGTATTAGCCGGAGAAATGCCATGAATTTCCTTTGTGTTCCTGCTTGAGAAAGGCGGAGGGGGAAGGAGGGAAAGCACAGCGCGTGGCAGCGCTCGGGCTGACAATAATCTCTGCGGTTTTTCTCCCAGCCCCAAGTTTATCCCTGTGCAATTCAGCGTAGGAAAGCTAATAACGATGTGTCAGGAAGACCTGATGGATATTTGTGGAGTTGAACGGCGGGGCCAGCACTGCCTCCTGCTCTCCCAGCCAGGGCTTATTTGTGCCTAAAGACCCTGGCCCTTTTTCATGCTTTTTAATATTAGTGATTTATAGGGCCAGTGTCTTTATTTTTTAGGCTTTTTCATTCCCCCTCTTGCCCACCCTTCCAAAAAAACCCAGATCCCTTCCTCGATTGCTCCTCAGCAGCTCCATCTCACCGGAGCATGCACAGAGCAGGGAGCTGCCAGCTCGTCCCCAGCCCTGTGCACAAGGGCAGAGCCCAGCACTGGCAAGGACCCAGTTCAGTGGCACTGGGACATCTCCCAGCCCCATCCCAGTGCTGGGGCTCCTCCAGTTCACAGCTCCAAACAGAGTGACCTGGGGTAACGGGCAGTGCCCACGTCAAGGCAGCCCATTATCCTGCTGCCTCTGCATTCCTCAGCATGGGTGGGCTCTCGGCTGGACCACCACCCTGCCCAGATTTATGCCCCTGTTTATCTGTCAGCATTGGAACCCATCTGTGGGGAGGGTGGGAGGAGGTTTGGGAGTCACTGCCGGGGGACGGACACTCTCACTTGTCCTCTCTCATGTGCAGGTCTCTGTGCAGGAGGGGCAGAGCCTGGGAATGGGACACAGCCTGGGGATGGGACAGCCAGTGTTCCCAGGAATGGGGTTAGCTCTGGCCTGGTTACACCTAGAGATGGAAAGCCCTGTGAGGGGCGGTCCCTCCCCATGGGTCACACTGCAGAAGGGACAGAGCTGCTCTGTCCTTCCAGAGGCACTGAGATCTCCAGGGAAAGGAAGTGTCTAGAGGAGATAACCCAGAGCTTACCTTGTCCCAGACCTCCCTTTCCGCTGTGACAACTCTCTGGAGCCTCAGGCAGGACGGGGCACAGGAGGATGCTGAGGTTGAGCGCTCCCTGCTGTGAGCAGATCCTACATGGAATACTGGAGCTGCAGTGGGAAAGCCAGTCTGGCTCATGGTGTTTCCAGACCAGCTCTCAGTTTCTAATATTTAAAGCATTTGTTCACAACACTTATTTATTTGGGTTCCTTCAATCTGTGGAGGGAATTGCCTCAGGCTCACAAGAGCTCCCAGAGCTCCTGGCTGGCATCAGACAGGGGTGAGGAAAGACACAAACCTATTAAAGCAGAAGAAAGTGAAAAAGACAAAGGAGTAAATCCTTGCTTTCACTACCTGTGACCTCCGAGTCACAAATAATGGGGAGAAGGTGATGAAATGCAGCTTTGGACCGAGCACAGCATCCTCTGCTGCTCCAGGATTTTGGCTGCACCAGCAGCAGCTCAGGCCTCACACCTCACAGATGGCTTGTTCTGGGGAGATTCCCAAGTTACATCTTCCCTCTCTGCCTTTTCATACAAAATGGGACCATCTGTCTGTTCCTCCTCCCGTTCTCCTTCTCTGCACAAGTTGTGCTGCTGCTCAGTGCACATGCAGGGTCCTTCTTCCCTGGAGTCTTCCTCAGGGAGCACGAGTGGGCCCTGACCTCCCCCAGCTCCCGCTCACCTCGGTGGCCTCTGGGCTCTCCTCACCTTTGCAGAGGTTGCAGTGTTTTCTAAATCATCAATCTTGAAAAATATCTCACATAAACTGTATAAACTGAGCAGGGCTTTGCTGCAGAGACCTCCTATGTCACACAGCCCACGCAGACATAACTGGTTGCTCATTTTGGGGGGTTGCTGTTAAAAGGAACTTTTTTCCCATTTGTTTGGACTGTGAGATGTGTTCCTGGGCACCAGTGTGCTCTGCTCACTGAATCCCACAAGGGGTAAGGTTGGAAGGGACCACAGTGGGGTCATCTGCTCCTTTTGAGAGTCAGGTGCTAAGGGTCGTGCTCACATCCATGGACAGAATTCCAGATTATCCATAGCCTGGCACTCCGGAGTGCACTGGTGTAAACTAGTGCCTGGGAAGCTGCTGCCTTATCAGAGCTGTGCCCCTCCATGGGATCACACAGCATGGAATACGTGCAGCCTGCACGGGGGGCAGGTGGAGCTGCAGAGGGGAGTGAGTGTGAACAGTCCCCTGTGCTCTATGGGTTTTGTGGGGAAGGACTGAGTGTGAGACATCACAAGTGCCCGGGATGAGGGGGCACGATCCTGCTCTCCATGGCAGCAGCTTCTGCTCCCTGCCCTTCCCTGCCCCAGCCCTGCCCTCCGAGGTGATAACCTGCTCATTTCCTTGGGGGACAACAGACACCTTCCCCAGGTCTGGGCTCCTCTTTATTATCCCATCCCCCTGCACCCGCCACTCGCAGTGGAGAGTCCCCGCACTGGAGCTGCAGAAACAATTATGTTTTCATTACCAAAGCAAATTAAGGCACTTGCTTAATCGAGTTTATTAAATACCAGTGAAGTCCCTGGGTAAATGGATGGCAAAGCAGTTTCCTGTGCTCGGCTGGGGGAGGAATCAGAACTGTAATCAAGGCGACAGAGCCGCAGGGCTGGGCGGGCACAGCTGGGTGGGAACCGCGGGGTGTCCCTGTTCCTGGGACAGCACTGGCCTGTGGCACATGGCCTGGCTGTGGGACCTATTGGAGGTCTACTCCCGTGTCCCCCCGGCTCTGGGCACCCCACCAAGGCTGGGGGCTCAGCAGGGGCAGGGAGGGACAGGCTGCAGGGCAACCCCGTTTCTCCTCCGGATCAGCACTTTTCCTCTCTCTCCCATCGCAGCCTTTGGCGGGCTATTTTTAGCTCTGTTATTTCCCTCAGGCCAACTTTTCTCTAACATTTCATCCCTTTCTCCATGTTTCTGGTTGCTATTTTCCTCCTTCAAGCCGCCTTCTCCTCCAGATCTCCATCTGCCTTCCCCCCTCTCCAGCCTCTCAGGGAATGAGTGGCGCAGGCTCGGAGCGGGGATGGGATGGGGCACGGGCAGAGGCTGAGCCAGGCTCCAGCAGGGAAGGGCTCCGGGGACTGGATTTTGGGAAGCTCTGCCAACATTGCCGAGGGGATTCTGCACTGGGTCAGGTGGGAGGAGCTGGAAATCCCCTGGCAGTGCCCCAGAGAGTGGGTGTGCTCCAGCAGCTCTGCCAGGCGGGAGCGAGGAGGAGGAGGGAGGGAGGGTGAAGACACCCCAAATGTGCAGCTGATGCCCTGCACCCTTTGCCAGGAGTGGTGCCCAGCCGTGACCATGGGCTTCGCTCCATCCCAAAACCATCGGCAGGAGAGGGATGGCTGTGGAGAGGAGCCCTGAGCCACATGTCCCCTGGGGCTCATATGTCCCTGCCAGCAGGGCAAGGGGTGGCACAGGGCCTGGGTGTCCTCCTGGGCCCCCTGGCCTCTGTCCCAGTGGAGACTGGGGGGCACTGAGGCACTGGGGGGCTTCCTCCTCCCCAGGTGTTGTTTATCTTTGAGCCTGGCTGTGCCACACAGATAAATGGATTTTAAAAGACCAAACCTGGTTTATTAAAAAAAGATAACCAAAGTGTCAAGGCTGATTTGAAATGGAAAACAGCGTCTGAGAAAGAAAAAATAAAAAGACAAGACTGTTTTCTCTTGAAGTGCATCAGGGGACTGGGAACGGCCTCTTCCCAGTTTCTCTTTGTCCTTCCTTTCCCCCCAAAGCACTTTTAATGTTTTTATCCCTCCTTGTGCAGGTCATTCCTCCCCTCAGCAGCAGCAGGGCCAGGGAGGGGGCCAGGGGGGTCTGCACCCTGGCTTTGTGGCCAGAGATGGGCAGGGGCTGGGGGATGCCCTTGCCAGCCCCCTCCTCCTCTCCAGGTAGGAAAACATGAGCTGTGGAGCAGCAGCCCCAGGTCCCCTGGCAGTGTTCCCAGTGGGAGC